GCGGTTTGAATACTAATGCGGTTTGAATACTAAGAAAAAAAGATTTTTTTAAAAATGCAAATTTTATGTCAAGATCTGGAAAAATTCCTAATTATTGACATACCCCTTTTGCGGCACCCAGCTTGAGAATTCCTGGGTTAACGTATCGTTAGACCGGTTTGGTGACGTCAGCAGCATGGCCCGTCAACTGGAGCCAGTCTTGGTTTAGAAAACTGTGTTGAACGTTGCTGGCTTCCAACAAACATAGAATAACGCTTAAAAATGCAAATTTTATGTCAAGATCTGGAAAAATTCCTAATTATTGACATACCCCTTTTGCGGCACCCAGCTTGAGAATTCCTGCGTTAACGTATCGTTAGCCCGGTTTGGTGACGTCAGCAGCATGGCCCGTCAACTGGAGCCAGTCTTGGTTTAGAAAACTGTGTTGAACGTTGCTGGCTTCCATCAAACATAGAATAACGCACACAACAAGAACTTACAGTAATCTGGTCTCAGCTCCAATGGTTTTGGACTGAATATAAGACGAGAATATGGCACAAAGACGTCAGCGTCCAGTCGGTAGGTCATGATGAGGTTAATGCGAGCATTCCAAGGAGAGTTCTCATCTTGTCAGAAAGACAAACAATACGAGAATTAACACTAAACAATGACGGTTCAAGCTTTTTTGCCCCCATGTGTACTGAAAATACAATGAACCAGGAAATTTCATGGGAAGTAAAAGCGATCGTACGATATTGACTATATCATTAATTTAGTGTTGATTAATTTATCGAATGATCAGGCAATCAGTCGCGCTTCCAACTACACGGCAAAGGCACCGCCTTATTGCCGCTCGGCTTCCTGGCCAGTGAAAACCTAACCAAACAAGCAGCATTCCTGGCAACATCTAATAGCTTGCTGCCCTAGGTAACAAGTAAAACAAGCAGCATTCCTGGCAACATCTAATAGCTTGCTGCCCTAGGTAACAAGTAAAACAAGCAGCATTCCTGGCAACATCTAAAAGTTTGCTGCCAAAAACTGCAATTATCATCTGTGTTTACAAATTTGGCTGTGAGCATTTGCCGGAGGGGGGGGAGGGGGAGGGGACAGGGAGAAAGGGATTGAGGATATTTGAACCTGAGGATTTAGGGCCGCATAGCTAGCGCTGTGCAAGTTAAGATTTACCCCCCCCCCCCCCCACCCTGTCCCATCCTCCCACACCACCCCCCCCCCCCTTTTCCATCAAGGCAAAAATACAAAACCTCACCAAGGAAACTATCATATGGCAAACACCAGAGGCGCCACCACAGGACTCTTGTCAATATACGTGCAGTTTGTAGTTGATAACAACAGTCGCGACAAAGCAACAAGTGCACATGCATTACTGCATGCGGCACACCACCAATTTTGTAGCAATAAACCACTCTGAATATGCATTATACAACATAAATTTATGGGAACACCATCAATAACTTTTAACACGCCCACAGTGCGATAACATAAACTCAACTCAGTAGCTCGCCGATGGAAGCATGTTTTTTCTTTACCTCGTTGGTTGTTAGACGTAGTTTCTTGCTTGGGGTTAAATCTTTAGCCGTGGGCGGGATTGCTTGGGATAACAGGATTTACGACACGAAGTTGAGGGCTTGAGAAAGAGAGGCTAAAAGATATTATGTCTTGTTATTACTGCTCCATTGGGGCTAAATTATGGTCTATAAATTTATGGATACGCCACCAAACACCCACTGGGAGCCGCGACAGGGAAGCAATTTGACGCTGACTGTAGGGTCTTCTTCTTCTTCTTCTTCTTCACTTCCTCAGGGAGATATAAGGTTCTGTTTCTAGCTCTTCCGGCTGCCTCGACCATAGGCACATTGTGCTGTTGTAGAGTTTCTCTGATGTTATCCTTCCATCTTGTTCTTGGTCTACCCCGTGCTCTACGTCATTCTTCTCTTTCCATGTATGCTTTGCATGGTATGGTGTCACAAGGCATTCTCTCTAAGTGGGCAAACCATTTCACTTGCTGTCTTTGTATGTAATCCAGAATTGGTTCTGTGCTGACTTGTTCTCTAATGATCTCATTCGTGATCTTATCTCTTATGGTCACTCCTACAGCCCTTCTCAGACATCTCATTTCCGTGGTTACTAATTTTCTTTTATGGTTTGTTGTGAGTGACCATGTCTGGCACTGGTAGCACAGAGTTGGAATAAATATGCTTTGAATAAGATGTCTCTTTGTGCAGATTGGGATTGTCTTATGCTGTAAGAGGAGTCTAGCTGTCCCAATACTTGGTTTGCTTTACTGCATCTAATGTTGATTTCTTTATCCAATTTCCCATCTTCGGTAAATGTAGTTCCCAGATATTTAAACTCAGATGCCTGTTTAATGCCTTTGTATTCTATTGCTAGCGGCGTCCGTGGCTAAGGCGTTGTGAGTCCGACTCGTAAGCCAGCATACCGCGATCGAAACCTGCGTGGGCTGCGTGGATTTTTATCGTGGTATGGGACGTCGCAGGTCGACCCAGCCTAAAATGGGTACCAGGATGGGATGTCCTGGGAAAGTAAAGACAGCCGGCGTAATGCTGACCACATTACCCACAGAGTGCTGATGGTCTGTAAAAATATGGGACGCTCTGCCCATATGCCCGATGCGCCGAAAGGCGTGAAAAGGGAACTTTACTTTTTTTTTTTAATTCTATTGCTATGTTTAGATCTGTCTTCTTTTTTCCTATTGACATTACTTCTGTCTTTTCAGTGTTGATTCTCATATTATTTGTTTTACATTCTTCATTCATGGATGTTAGATGTTGTTGCAATTTCTAGGGTCAAGAGTTCAAATGTACATTAGGAAAAACTGATTTCACATTTGACGTTGTCTTCCAGTTCGATTCAATCCCAGATCAAATGTACTTTAAGACCAATTGATTTCACATTTGACGTTGTCTTCCAGTTCGATTCAGTCTGAAATCAAATGTACATTATTATGGATTGATTTCACATTTGACGTTGTCTTCCAGTTCGATTCTTCTTCTTCTTCTGCGTTCATCCAAAGATGTAATTGCGTTGTGTCCGTTTACAGCATGGCTGCGATATTTGCACCTTTCGGCCAACACATCCGACTTCTGCGGGCATTTGTTGGCCGGGTTAGCCTTCCCGGTCAGTTCGATTCAATCTGAGATCAAATGTTTATTAATATGAATTGATTTCACATTTGACGTTGTCTTCCAGTTTGATTCAGTCCTATATGAGTTCCAGTCAGTGAGCATGGAAGGACAGATGCACGGCGTGATTGTGATCACATAACCAATCGACTGCATTAAAACTTCAGCACGATCTTCTTGTATCTTCTTGTGTCCAACTGCCTGTGCCATGAAGCGTCACCGAGAGGAGTCAGATGTAGTACCTGTGCAGCTTATGTTAATGTTATACTGTGTTTGTGTAGTGTCTCTTTTACTTTATTCACCCACATCTTTCTTGGTCGACCTTTTGCCTTGTAGCCTGTTGTTCTCATATAGAACGCTCTAACTGCTGGCTGATTTTGTTCTATTTTGTCAAGATGACCAAACCGGTTTATTCGTTGATCTTCTATAAAATTATGTATTGATACTGTGCCTACTATTGTTCTTAGTTCTTTGTTAGTGACTCTGTCTCCTTTTGGTTTTCCCGCCGCAATTCTTATACATGTCATCTCGCACTGGTACAAATATCGCATTTATCAGCTAATTTTGTGTGTGCATGTTGATGCCTCAAAAGTGGGGCTAAATCGTCATTTATGTTGGCCTTCTGTTTTTATTTTTCCCTTTTCCCTGTCCAATCCTCAATCCTATGAATATCCACTGCTTGGATACTTAAACTCTTTAGCTTGTTTTATTATATCTCCTTCAACATGTATGATAGGTTGAAGTGGTGTTCTATTTACTCTCAAAGTTTGTGTGTGTGTGTGTGTGTGTGTTTTATATAATTTTTTGTTTTCATTTTATATTTCTTCTAAGTGGTGAAACTGCTAATGCGGTGTTGGAAGTTATCCACATTTTTGTAGAACAGCTTATTTAAATCCTCTTGGTTGATGGGCGGAAAAGGGGGGGGGGGGTTGCTTCTTTAGCCATCATATCCAGTCCATCCCTTGTCTTATGCAGATGTAACTTGGAGCCGGTTTGTGGTGGCTACAGCTGCTCTCCTAGCACATTTGGTTGTGTGACAAGATCAGTTGCCCTACGTGTTTCTGAAACCTGGAGTACAACTAAAATGAAGCCTTATCGCAAATTTTAGGGGACAGAGTCTTTCAGCGAATCTTTGGACACAAGCACCAAGAAAAGAGAGATCGAGAAGCAACAATAAAATTCAGAATGGATTATATTCACAATAATTGCAAGCATCAGGACGGCAAATTGACTGGTCGGGATATACAGAGAGAGTGACAGATAAAAAAGAGACACAACGTGCCTATATAAAAGAGCTGAATGGGAATAGACCATGAGGCAAACTAAGTGGACAAAGGAGGGATACATTACCAGCAGGTCTATAACCCTTAGTAACCAAATGGAAACAGACGACCAATCACAGCGGTGAATGGAGCTGGTGAATGCAAAAATGAAAACCAAAGGCTTCGGAACAGTGAAGAAGAAAGAATTTACATTTTAGCGAAAAGGGTAAAAGTAACATATTTACTAAAGAGGAATAGAGCATATGAAAGTTTTTTATTTAATGAAATTGCCTGTGTGTGTTCCATTGAGGAGGACACAAGCATAGACCCACTACCCCTAACTAGCATGTAGTAATAGTCTACTAACTAGGAACGTCTCCTTCCACGTCGGAGAGCATCTACCTCGGAGAAGATGAAATAATAGTCTGCATTAAAAAAAACAGATGTGTAAAACGGATGTGCGCCCGCTAGTCAGATTCTGAAATAAGACTAAGGTTCAGAAGTGGATGAACAACCAGAACTGTCCGCCGGAGTTTACATCCGGGGAATACAAAGAAAACAATTTAATCAAATAAAAGTCAATGTATATGCCACTTACTGTTTAAAAAATCCGAGTTTATGTGCATCGGTGGTTCCCAGATAGTAAGGATGTAGGTCTGATTTGGCCATCTCTTCGGTGGCTTGAAGTTATCTCGGAGATATATTCCATAAATGAGTACTACGTCTGTCTCAGATGTAACTGGTCCACCTGACATCCTACACTGGTCTGTGTTTATGTGACACGATTTTAGCTTGTAATCCTCTGGTGTCAGGTATTCTGGGGGTTTTAAATAAACAATATTGAACACCTTCTTTGATAAAGGCGTTATCGTTTGAGGAACACATTCTATGAATGGCGACTCCTTGCACTGCACAACTAGGAAGGTGTTAAAGGTCATCGTTGTTGTAGAGGTTAAAACGTCTAGGGTGTCACTTTTGACGTTGCTGTTAAATTTTGAAATTGTGGAATTCTTCTTCACAGAAATAACAAGTGATTCACCATTTTCACGATTCATTGCTGATTCTTTTTCCGTGGCGTTGCCGTTGTTGGATAGCAAAATTAGTTTAAGATTGTTGTGTTCTGTGTGTGTAAGGTCGATAAGCCAGGGTATAACTGAACTGATGGCTGCAAAGTAATTGATGAATATTCCCAGCAGACAGAAGGCCAATAAAGTCACGAAGACTGTTTTTAGCGACACCTTGCGCATGATCCTGCCAGAAAAAAAACAAAAAAACAAAGAAAACAATTTTGAAACCCGTCCTAAGTTGAGAGGTATTTCTAAAATGTATTTTTTACTCAATCAACAGCATCCTTACTACATGCATCCCTTACGTCCTTGTTAGGACGTCCTTACGTCCTTGTTAGGACGTCCTTACGTCCTTGTTAGGACGTAATTTTTGTTATAGGACGTCCTTACGTCCTTGAAGCCCCCCGTCCTTTTAGGACGTTCCTTACTCCAGGGGACGTCCTTGTCCTTGTTAGGGCCGCAATATAGACAGGCCATCAATATGGCCAATTGTCTGAACGCGGTTTCTGGGACCTCTCCACGGTGATCCTCATTCGCATGGTGGCACTTTGTGTCATCGGGTGTGTGATGTCCTGGTGGGGTAGAAAGTCAGTCAGTCAGTCAACACCATCCTTTCTCGAAAGCTGAAATATTTTGGTCATATCAAGCACCACGACGGATTGGAAAAAATTATAGCAGGGGCATGGTACCAGGAAGGAGGGGCAGGGGCCGACCGACACGAAAATGGGCACAGGATATAAGTGACTCCTTGAGTGTGAAAGTTCATGAGGCGGGAGAACTGGCAAGAGACCGAGTTTCTTTCAGGCAGACTGTGATGAGAGCGACGTTCTGCAAAGGACCTGCTACATGATTTATTATTATTATTATTATTATTATGTCATTTAAAGAACCCGCCCCTGCTGTCGTCGTTGGTATGGGGTTTTGGGGACTTGTGCCTGGGAGGGATTCTGTTCCGACTGGTGGCACTTTGTGTGTTTAACCCTCGCGGGGTGGTTCTGTTGAGGTTGAACTTCACTCACTCACTCATGGAAATAACTAATTACATCGACATATTTCGAAATAAAGAAAATGTAAACATATGTGTTATACGTTAGGTTGATAAACATTGTATAAGTTGAATATTGATCAATCATTAAATCAGGTGCCGTCTCCACAATGAAGGTTAGTTGCAATGGATTTCAAACTGGCTTGGTCTCTTGTGTTGGTTGTACACTCTCTCAGTCTGCTCTTTGTCCATCTCTTGATGTTGTTTTCCCACTTGTACCTCTTGCACTCCTGTCTTCAACTTTTCCTACGAGAATTGTTTTTAAAACAGTGTTATACCTTTTAATATTGCTAAAATAGTTCATCCGTCATTTAAAATTCGTTTTTCAGTAACTTTATTTTAGACAAAATTAAACACCCTAACTTGCACAGCCCATGGCGACAGCACTAGCCAGGCGGCCCTAAACCCTCAGGCTCAAGGCTGCCCGTGTCTACACCACCCTAAAATGTGGTAAAACAGACAGTGGTGACAGTTAAACGGTCTTTTAATTCCAAGTCTGCAAGTGGAACAACTTGGACCAGAGAAAAAAACAATTTAATTTCAGTCTAGCCGAGGGGGAAAGAGAAACGGAAAACAGCTAAATGCAGTGCCATGGCCAACATGTGCGCAGACACTAATCATCAAGTAGTTTTGATAGCCATGGCGAAAGAAATTCGAGAAAACGAACACGACGAATTAGAGAGACATTAAAAATGTTTACACTCAAAAAAAGGGGGTGGGAGGGGGGGTATCCACACACACACACACACACACACACACACACAAACACACACACGCACACTCACACACACTCACACACAATCACTCACTCACTCACTCACTCACACACAACACTCACTTACTCACTCACTCACTCACACAGACACCAATATTCTTGGGACGATTAGGAAGAAGACAAATGGAAGGAGTAACTGATACCTCATGACTCCACAACATCATAGCATACTAATCAACTGAGCATTCCCTAGCTCGGAAACCGATCAGGTCTTAACCTGCGACACTTAGAGATAAAGCACAAAACTGACCCCCCCTCCCCCCCCCCCCCCCCCCCCCTTTTCCCCACCAAACATACTGTTATTCTCTCACGGATACAAACAATGCATCTCACAATTTATTGCCTGTCATATTTTGCAGGTGCAATAATACTACGAGGTTACATCCACGTGAAACGAAATAGAAAACAATGAATTCTCTTCGCTGAAATCACAAAATAACATTGTCAAGTTAGATTGCACATCTCTCATACTCGAACGAACGAACGAACGAACGAACTTTATTTTCAAAGGGTCACAAATTGGGCACGCAGGCCCGTCTTACATTCGGCCCTTCCAGTCAACCATCTTTCGCACAGCAGTTGTTTTTTATTAATAAAGCATGTTATGATCATATGATGTTATGCATATTATGAATATTATAAAAGAACACAAAAGCATGAGTTGTAAAGTGCATGCAAAAACCCGCGCGTGCATACATACACCCGCATACACACGCTCACCCACTCACTTACACACACAAACATGCATGCATACATTACATACATACATACACAGATACATATAAACAAACATGCATACACACATACACACAGGCATACGTACACACAAACATACAGGCATACACACATACAGTCATAAATCCAGTCATGCATGGATACACACACATGCACACACGGACACTCCCACAGAGACACAAACACTCAGACAAAAATACAGACACACACACAGACACTTACATATAAACACACACATTGAAACACACAGCACACATATTTACATTCGTGCTCACACACTGACACACACACCACACATACGCAGACAAACATGCAGACACATACATACAGCCACATAGACACACACGCAGTCAAACACACACACACACACACAAATACAGACAAACAGGCAGACAAACACATACTGACACCCACAGAGACAAACACGCAGAAATGCATATACATACAAACACATAGAAATACACACGCAGACACACATATTCAGCACGCACATACATATACTCTGACATGCAGACGCATACAGACAACAAAGGGGCACACACAACGCACACAGAGAAACACACATAGACATGCACAGACAGACAGACACATGCTGACACATACAGCATGTGTCTGTCTGTTAATACTTAGCCATTTATTACTTATATCAAAATGTGCAAAATGTGTTTAAGTTAGTGCAAGCTAAACACTCTGCCGACCGAAATAGTCGAAACAATGAAAAAGAAGAACAATTTACCTGATCATAGTTATTGTCGGGTAGACAACACTTTTCGTTCATATTAAAGCATGCTGTAAAAAATCACACAAGCTTCAAAACACATGTGCAGCAAACCTATTTTTTTCCCCACACGAATATCACAACAGTAGTAGGTTGTTTGTCCCCTCGAGGACTGTAGTGAGTGGGATTATTACCTCAAGTATGAAAATCATACACGTACACATTCCAGAAGCCACATTCAAGCGTTTTATGTTACAATGATATAGCCTTAGATGCTACACGCAGTGTTGCCACTTTTCTTTGACAACAAATATCCAAAACGGTGTCCAAAAATATCTAAAAAGATTTAAATCTCAGCGGAAAAGATCTAGAAAAAATATCTAAATTGAAAAAGTCAAAAATTACATAGCTTTTGTGATGACTTACCCTACATAATCATGTCCTCACCTTCACTGATGTCTGCCTCACAGGATCCACAGGATAAACTTAGCTTGGATAATGAAGTTGAAGCTTCAGATCCAAAATGACCCTGGTATGCTTTAGCTGTTCAAATTTCTTTATAAGTGGAACAGTAGGCTTATTTCTCTAGTCTCATCAGGCCGAATTTTAATGGCACGATAGCATTTAAGAGGTCAAATTTCATCCTGTTTTTTAGATTAGATTTGATATAACTCCTAGCACTGAAAACTCTTTCTACGTCAGCATTTCAGTGGGGTAGTATCATGGCAGACATGGCACTTTAAAGAGCTTACAGAATGGACTGTTTGATGATGCATCTTTAAATTGTCTCACTTCACTCCAAAACGCTTTAGTTTCTGTTTTGTTTGTCCATTCAGCTAACTTTATTTTGGTTGACTGATATTCTGCTTCCGCGACACTATTATCAGTAGCCCCTAAAAATTTCATAACTTTACAATATTTAGGTATGTACTTTATTGGCTGAAGTATGTTGCTCACAGAAAAAAGTGAAATATTTTTCAAAACATCTAGATTTTCAGGAAGTCTCTGCTTCAATAATGAGATCATCTTGACAGCGTTTTCTCAAGTTGTTCTCTGTTAACAGTCCTTTTGTTTTTAAATCATCAATTTTTGATTTGATTTAATATCCAAGGTGTGGCTTAGGAGCCAAATAGCTCTCTATAGTGCAAGTGAGCAAATCAGCTTTAGAAGTTGACAACACCAGT